AAAATAAAAATATTAACTTTAAGTAAGAGTTAAATATAGACGTTCGGGAAAAAACGTCCGGATTAATAATTTGGGAAAGATATTCGCGATATTGAATTATCGAGAAAATTAATGTACTGGCTAGTGCAAAGATTATGTTCTCTAGATTATAACGTTAATAACATTGCGGTTCGAACGTTCGTGCGCGCTCGCAAATGGATCCATTACAAATATTATTCAGAGCCGATCTGACTGGCCCTCATAATGAAATCACCAGAGGGAAATCCGTCGACTGGTCTAAATGAATTCACATGCGGTATCATTTCATCACTTTGTGGTTCCGTCTGATGTCTCTGTTATTTTAGCTTTGTACCTGCGCGAGTATAAACAGACAAGATTTTCAAAAAAATCGATAAAACCGTTTTAATAATTAAAATTTGTCATGTGTATATGGGAAAAGGCAATATTTTGTCTCAAATATATATATAAACCCACGCGTAATGCGATATTCCGCGTAATAAAGTTTCTTAGTCAAATAAACTGTTTCCCAAATAAATAGACGAAAAATGACGTATTTCTCTCTTGCGTGTGCATGCTTTATACACAAGCTTTTATCGCGCGTATTTATCTTTAATTTATTTCAATCTATTTAATTTGATATGTATTTAAATAATTAATATTTATTTAAAATATTTAAGAAAGATTTTCTATCACAACTCACAATGTGACATTAATAACTTGGTTTTTCAAATATATTAACGTACATGTTTAATTTCAATCGATGTAATTTTCTGATGCGAAACTTTTCGAACCTTTCGAAAACGGCTCGACGGGTTGACTCATTTTCACGTCTGCTCGCAGGCTTTCCCGATGATACGTCGTCGCACGATGTAACATATCGCTTTTAGATTTGCATACGCCGACGTCCCCGGGCCATTAAACGTCCACGTAAAGTTAGTAGTGCTCTTCTTCTGCGCACGACATCGTGCACGCGCGCATCCTTAGCGCGTGTTAGCCGCCTCGTCGTGTCCTCGGGCTGTGATCACCTTAACGCGAATTTATACGTTTTGCAGCGTGCGTCG